TTTAGGTCCGGAAGCTGTTAAAAAAGCTGATGAAATAACTAAACAGATCGAAGAAAATGAAGAACAACAACAACATTTATTACCACAGGTAGAGATAGTCACTCATAAAATAGATGATGACACTATAAGCATTTCATCTAATAAAGATAGTATCGAAGAGTCGAAGCGAAGTATAGATCGAGCATATGAAAGATTACATGATATAGATCCAAATACCGAAAAGTATAAAATAGAACAAGATTTTATAAATAAGTTAGTATCGGATAATCGAACCCTAATAGATGAAAACAATGAACTATATGAAAAACAGGAAGCACAGGTACAAATAAAGAGTAAACTAGAAAAACAGATTATAGAGCTACAATCTCGAAATGAAGAACTCGAAAATAAAAGAGAATCAATAGAGGAAAAATTACCATTAAGAGAACGTGTAAAACAAATAATAAAACGTCATGGTCTGACCGTTACTGGCATCGCTCTAGCAGTTGGTACTATCATCGGAGTCATCATCAATAGTTTAAAAAGTGGTCTATCTACTGTAGCAAAGGGTGTTGGAAACGGTTTGAAGACCATTGGTAAGAAACTAGGTCAGATATTACCAGGTATGGTTGGAGCTATTGCCTCTTTCATATTTAGAACAGCTGGGGAGGTTGTTGGCTTTCTTGCTAAGAATGCATGGCTCCTTATAGTAGCAGTCGTATTGTATATGGTAGAAAGGTATAAAAAGAAAAAATGAATATATATATTATAATGGTTCTATTGACAATAAAAAATACAAATTCTCCAAATGATTTTAGACAGTATATCGATTTCCCACTACAAAATGTTTCGAAAATATCATTAGTTTCTGTCGTCATAAACTTCACCAATAATTCAATACCTGATGAAATGAGTATATTATGTCAAGAAATAAGCAGTGATAGACTCTACAATGGAACGCAGTCAAAGTTACTTCTACTAATAAATAAAAGAAATGATAATCAGATAGTATTCGAAACAATACATAAGACATATATCGATTTAGCATGCAACATTTTACCACAATTAACAATATCAATCGTCGATAATAGTTTGCAGAAACTTACAAATATTCAGAGTACTTATCTAGATATCGAAATCATATAAATAAATAAATATAATACTATATTATATATACATGTCAAATCAAGATATAATAGAGRAAATCTATCCTAAGTTACCACAAAAGATACCAGAGAATGGAGGTAATTTCAGATTGCATAAAGTAAATATGGTTTCATCTCGATTAGGAGAAGAGCACAAGCATTATGAACATGTTAGAAAGAAGTATTCAAGATTGAGATCGCTTTTCCATGGGATGGCAATAACTACAGGAACTCTAAGCGGAATACTAACAGCTTCAGGAATCGGAACAAGTTTGACAGGTCCAGGTATTGTTGTTGGGGTACCTCTCAGTGCTGTTGGGGGTGTTCTAGGATTAGTTTCGGCTGGTTGTGGTGTCTTAACAAAAAAACTGACTAAGAAGATTAGTAAGCATGAAAAAACTATCCAACTAATAAAATCAAAGGAAAATAGCATAAACGATCTCATCTCAAAAGCATTACATAACGATCATATAGATGAGAAAGAATTCGAACTCATTATGAGTGAGTTAAATAAATATGAAAATCTAAAATCTAGTATCCGTCGTAAAAAAAAACGAAACTATTTTAAAAAACGATGTGGATGCGAACAAGTTGAGAGAGGAATTGAAAAAGGAGATTGTAAACCAACTCGTAAATCCAAAGAAATAACGATTTCCTTCAACAGAGACCCATTTGGTGGATATATGTATAAGATCAGATATGATAAAAATTTAAACGTATAAAAGTTTATCTCTTATATAAGATTATAATAGATGAATAAATTCCCAAAGGAGGTTATGCCTACTAATAAAACCTATCCAATTCCAGCTGTTGGACTATACGATAAAGCAGATGATGTTAATAAAATACTAAACCCCCTCAAAATATATGTAACACCTTCAAAAAGCTTCTCCGTTCCTCTCAACAATGTGTTTCAATTAACACCACCGACAGTACAAAATGTAAGCGATTACACTACATGGATCGAAGAACCAAATTTTAAATATTGGTCTCAACAGCTTAATTTCGCTTGCTGGTGTGCAACAAGTGGGTGTGGGATTAGCTATCATATCATAGAACCTGATACTCAAATAGGATCTATTCTAAGATTTCACGTAATATATACAATCAGATGTATTCTAAATGATCTCCAAGTTCCACTACCGTGGGATAACACATTCGTATGGTATGGTACTAGATACAATAAAAACGCATTAATGACATTATGTAACGAGTTCGGTATCGATTCATCCAACCCAGATTTCCGATTCAAAGGTAAATCCACAGAAAAAGATATGTTCAATTTCCATTATAGGAGTCCGTATAAAGATAGTTTGACAGCATATTATACATCAACCCACAAAGATCGGAGTCAATATAATTGGTTTATACCTCAGAAAGGTCATGGTATCACAAAAGCAGGATTGTCACGATTGAACCAAAGTATAGAAGCATTCGTTTATTGCGTTCTTGGTTCGCAGGTCAACACTAGATCGTCAATCATTGGTGATTCAGGTTCAGCCAAAGAAACTCAAGACGTATTCTTAAAACTTTTTCAAGACTCGATAATCGAAAAAGATATTTCTAAAAGCATGGATCCAAAGATATCAGCTTGCTATTCAAAAGGCAAAAGTAAAACTCGATTTAGCTATATCACCAGGTTGTTGGTTGTTACCATCTACTCTAGTCATAAATACTGAATCCACTATCGGGTACAATAATAAACTCCAAAGAGCAACAAATGATATGAATTTTGGTATAAATAATATTAATAATGATATCAAATCAATTGGGTTACCTAAGAATAATATGGGAGGTTCGAAGGTTAAATTACCCCATCAGTCAAATAACGATAAACAAAAAACAAACAATATTAATAATTCTGGTAAAACAAATAATTTCAATAAAYCAACTATCAAACCCAAACCATCATCAAAAAAACATGATACTAATCTTGCTGTTATTACAATTGGTGCTGCAGGTTTAGCGTGGTATATGTTTAGATAATATGTTAAGCTACATATAAGAATAAAAAATGTATGCTAATATATATGGTAATAACTAGCGATCTCAACTCAAATCAAATAATTGAAAAAATAGATAATAAACTCAACTTTTGGCGAGAATGGACGTATTTAGGACTTAGAAGTTCTATTAGGTATCCTGGTGCACTTACAGATGGGGATATTAACGGTTTTTGTATGCATGTGACACCAAACATCACATCTAGAATTTCGATCGTATCACTAGGTACTGATAATGATGGTGGGGGTTTGGATTCTAATTCTGATTTAAAATTCATACTACAATGTGTGTTCAACGATAATACTAAAATCGAAACTAATTTCTTTACTATGAACATATCGAATTATACAGATTTACAAATAAATGATAACTCAGGTATTACACATAATTACTCAATATTCGAAAAATATTATTTGAAAAATATCGATAATTACGAAAATATAAGATTAATTAATGTGGGTGTTCATCAAAGCTCTGGAACGATCAAGGGTAATGAGTTTAGTCTCGTGGTTAGTTACAAACAAAATTATTGAAAACTCTTACGATATCATGTCATCTAGTATGAAAATTATTCAAATTACATAATTGATTAATAAACCAATTATGTAAAAAAAATATATACTTCATTTCAATTATTTTTTATGCTTTTACATTTCTTCACTTCAACACCTTCTGGAATATCTTCAACATATTCGAATCTATATTTCTGCCCATCCTTCTTCGATTTACCGCTTTTAACACGATTCATACCTTCAGCACACATTTTAATTATACCACAGTTTATACCTATGTGTTTGTAACACGCGTACATACTATGATAATATGTTTCCTCATCTGATTCGAGGTTAACTGCTTTAATGACATGTCGATTTTTGTGATTGGTTCCAACGAAAGAATAATCTCTTTTTTCAGCAGATTTTTTACAATTCTGTTGTTGTGTTACTAGTTGTAAATTACACAAACGGTTATCTCGTCTATCATCATTAATATGATCTATTACTTTACCATCTTGGATTAGTTCATTATAACATTCCCAAATAAAACGATGTGTAAGATATAATTTTTGAGCTTTTTCTCCATTTTTCCTAACAGCTACTTGTAAATATCCTCTATTATTAATTATACCTTTCATAGGATTCCTTCTAACTATATTAATAACCTGTCCATCTTCACTAGCAGCATATCTATTATAAAATGGATGTATAATATACGATTTTCCATCGATGATAATTTTATTTTGTCTTTCTGTCATAATTTATGTATGTTTTATTTGTTTAAGCCAATTTCATTAATAATCTAGTATAACAACTTTACAAATCTTTAAACCTACTACCACCAATAATCTTCATTCAGATTCTGAGATATACTATATCTCCAAATTCATATTTTCAAATTCTGTTGGAAAATATTTAGAAATAAACTTTTTATCAGATGTAACTATTTTATAYTTTTTATTTTCATCATATAATTCAAAATATAAATGCAATGTTAAACAACCAACTTTATACGTATTAATAACATTATTTGTCAATTTTATATGTGTACGTGTAAGTACGACCTCATCAGTATATTGTAAATCATCCATATATATATMTTCTAAATATTCTAAATTATAAACAATATTATTCACATCAAAATCAAACACTTCATCTTTAATTCTAAAAATAGAATAATAAGATATAAAATCCGGTAATTTATAACCATTCTGCATTTGATCAACTACTATGTCTCCAACTTTCATTTTCTTTATAATATACTAAATTCTTATTTCCTTAAGCCAATTTCATTAAACATCATATATAACTGTTTTATATTTCTTATTCTTATCATATAATTTATAATCTCTAAACAAAGCCTCCTTTTTCACTCTGTAAGTGTCAGTTACTTCATTTGTCAAACCAGTATAAGTATAAATATCCCTTGCCCCTCCTTCTAATGGGTATTCATGGGTATAAATAGGTTTTAGTTTATCTAATAGAACCGTCTTAGGAGTCTGTTTTTTGATCCGATAAAAATGATAATATTTGTTATAAAAATCTCGTTTTTTGACGACTATATCTCCAACTTTCATTTTCTTTCTAATATACTATATAGTTATTTCTTTAAGCCACTTTCATATATAATTATTTTCAATCTAGCATAGGAAATAAGTTTTTAACCTAGCATAGGAAATAAGTTTTTAACCTAGCATTGGAACCCTAGCATAGGAAACCTAGGATGTGAACCTAGCATAGGAAACCTAGGATGAAAAAGACATTTGAAAAAAATCTCAAATCAAGCGTAGTGAACCTAGGATTAAAATCTATGTTCAAATATGTTTCTAGTATATCAACAATAGGGTCGATTAATTACTTCGTAATTACCAATCTCTCGATCTATCGAAYATCAAATCATCTCCGCAAATGCTCTAATGATAAAAYCATATTGACTAATATTATCTTCAATAATATTAAAAACATTAATAAGGCAACCATCGGAGCTCCACTCCTCTTCCCACCAAGTTGCCTTGGAATTTTTAACACTCCTCCATCCCCTGCTCACCTGCGGCTGCGCTGCCGAGGAGCTAAATTCCAGCTTCGCTTGGTTACCCATTTTTTATTTCATTAATAATATCTAGGCAATATTTCAATCGGATGATATCAAGCCTAAAAACCAACTGCAAAATCAAAACATATATCCAAAGGCTAAATTGCGTCCGAATCGGCCAGTGCCTACTACTGGGTCAATGTTGTGCAGCTTGTTCATCAGCCAAGACCAATGAAAGAAGCAAGGAATCTAGAAAACGAAAAAGTGATGGTGAAATCCACATATTCCATAAYGAGCGCTATTTTTCTGAAGATGACTGGAAAAAGAAATCAGAGATAATTAACAAGAAGCTAAAGGCAAGCAAAACCAGAGAAGCTCGGCTGGCAGAAAAATTTCAAGACCAACTGATTGACCTGGAATCGGATGACCACAATGATCTGGCATGGATTATGGATAATGAGAATAACAATATACCTGAAGACATGAAGACTCTATGGCATCAACAGATCGAGATAACACAAACTGCATCAAAAAATGGATATCGATGGCATCCAAAGTAAGTATTAATAAATTTAATACATCTCCAAAAAGTTGACCAAATCTGTAAATCATGGTTTTCATTCCCATCCTCATTTATGAACTTTGTTTCATTTGTGGAATATTTCCAGTGCAAGAAACCCTTTTCCCAGTCCCAAAATAGGCAAACCTCATCTYTTATCTACCCCATCAAGACAGTTTTTATTAAAATGATTTGCATACCATTGCRAAAAATATTTCCATTATTATGTTTTAACCTACAGGATCATCAAACTTTGTTTGGAATTATACTGTAAAAATCCCCATGTACTTGAGCCTCTGCGCAATGTTATGCACTTACCTAGTAACAGGTCAATAAGGTAAGCTTTCAGAAAAATACAGCCAGTTGATATCCATTGACAAGAAACCAAACAAAAAACACAAAGTTAATATATGCCTATCTATTACTGGAAGGTACTACAAGAACAAGTGTGAGCAGCAGTCTGGCTGGAACAAAAACATAGTGGAGTGGTGTTTAAAGGATGCTAGAGAAAGAAACCTGAGGGAATGTGATTACTGGGGTGGATTTGTCATAGATGAAATGAAGATAGAGGTAATGATCATATTATTATAAAATCTGATCAATTTATTGTCATCATTCAAATGTTATGCATAATATAGTAATCCATAACTGACAACTGACAGCTGTGGTCTACTTAAATATATAATTTGTTCAAGACAGAACAATATTGATTGACAACTATACATATCATAAAGTGAAGTAACTTAACCCATGAAATAAAAAAAAAGCTTATTATACATGTAGGCCTAATAGTGCAAACTTACACACACCAATGAACAATTAAGTTATGCTAGGATTATAATGTGTATTTAATCTATATATCATGCATTTAAGGGTTTGAGTGCATTCATTCTATGAAATTCAACTAGAAATATTATTAAATTTTTA